CGGATTACAACATTGTTAATGCCAGTGTCTTAGAGGCAGACGATGCATTTGTTGGATTTTCATATGCACCACCTTCTGAAGACATGTTTTCCTAGGAAGTTAGAAGCCAACAGTGTTTTGGAAGTCTTGCGGTGAACTGAAATGTTAGGGTTATGAACACATTCCAAAATAGTGTAACTAGTGCCTCGTTTTGTATGTAAGTTTGAAACCTATGAACAAACTTTCTCTGCTGTATAGGAGGAATTTGGGCATTTTGGATGGCTTGCTTTGGGGTTTGAACTGTTCGTTCCTGCTGCAGAAAATATTTTTTAAAACCTTTAAAAAGCGTTCTCTACATATTTTTTAAGCAAAAACACTGACTGTTCTCCTCAATCCCTTCAAGTTTACATTCATACCTATCTAAGATTTGGCTGGCACAGACAGCAGCAAATTTAGTAAATTTATAAATGCTTTTGTACCTATTTACAGTGACTTTGTGCTTGAATTGTAACTATGCAAATCGTCTTTTGTATGTCCTGGTTTAAAAAAGGTAAATGTTTTCCCTGTTATATCAGTTTGAAATACATGTTAATTTACCTGTCAGCACTTAAATGAGGGGTTAATATAAGTTAAGACCAAGATTCTTAAAGGACTTCTACAGAATGAAAAGTTGATCATGTAAAACTGGATTGTTGCTCTTGCCCTTGCTGAAGTACCCATTCACTCAAGTGGATTATCTGAGGTATGGGGAATTACTCACAGCGAGAACAAACTGGATTGATTTGATAACATGACTGATCATGTGTTCTACTTTTCTTTCCTCCTTGAGATAAATATGTCTATATTTCAACTACATTAAAATATTTTTGGTTAAAACTCTTGCTTTTCCAAAGATACAATATGCAATAATCACTGTTACTTTAAAAGGCTATCTTGCTTTGACCTTTTGGGGGTGGGCGGTGAGGGGATCATGCCAAATATTAGCCATTTTTCTCACAGATTTATAGTTTGAAACACTAATATGTTCCAGATTGATTGTATTTCAGCGTTCATAGCTACTTGTCTTTGTGTTCCAGTTTGCACCATTTTTAAATCTGCATTTGATATTAGGGGGAAAAAAATGTAAATTACGCTGATAATTTTTAGAATGTGAAAAGCTATTGTATCTCTCGTAACATACACGTGTATGGACAAACTGATAATTCTGAACAATTTCTGTTTAAGGAAATTTTTTTAAACAATGCAAAAATTGACTGCAGTTACAGTGTATAAAAGCCTATCACGGTAGTAGTTTTATTATATATATTACTTGTAAATAACAACTTATTTTTGTCTGCTACTTCAAAAATGTTCTGTGTTTCTCTTTGTTCATAAATACATTCAGTTAAATGCCTTGATTTGAGAGAAGTCTGAGAAGACACTGATGAGTAGCCAGAGTTAAATGTTAGATAAATTTCAATATCTAAAATCATCTCATTTTTGACAAAATAAGAACTAAGATACATGCTGTCCATATTGCATCAAGATCAGTTAAAAATTGAGAATATTGGGGAAATGAGTGTATCAAATAGTAATTCTTTTGAAATTAATGTTGTGTCAACAGTGAAACATCAGACAAGTGGAAACTAAAACAGGATTCCTTGCTTGTCTCAGGGAGTATCTCCTATAGCACTGTCTCCTGCATAGTGCTTAAGTGATGCTGAGCAGTTGCTACATGAGCTGTTGGAAAGTGGCTGGGTAAAAAGTAAGAATTGACGTTGGCGTGGAAGGGAGGAGGGAACCGTACCATTTGTGGGAGCGGACTGGTGGCTTGGCGCTCATTTTCCATAGTGCTGCTCTTTGGAAATAGCTATGCAGCTGTTCAGGACAACCAACAACTACATGAGTCCTGTTCTTGCAGTTACAATCATTTGGAAGCAACAGCCTTATCCTTTTTTTTTTTTTTTTTTTTTTTTTAAAAAAAACATGTCTTTCTGATGGACTGGAAAGCAGAAATTGATTGCAAGAAAGGAAGTATCCATCCTCATACTGAGTTTTTAGTCTGTATACTCCTAAATGATTGTGGGCTACTCTTTAGTACCTTCTCTTTATGGCAAGGAAGCACGTACTGTAGCTGCCTTCTGCTTCTCCCAGCAAGGAAGTACAGTACTGTAGAGAGATGGGAAGGAGAAGGGGATACTTCAGAAATTGTTGCTGTGGGAGCTAGCACCCCTTTTAGTTTCTTTGTCTTGTATTTCCAAGATGTCTATACCTAGCTGCCTGACTAGGGTGAGGGGTTTTTTCTTTTTTTTTGGCCGTCATAAATTTGGGGGTTCCCCCCCCCCTTTTTTAATTAAAAAAAAAAAAATATGGCAGTGGTAGTTGAAGTTATTTCTGGGAGAGCAGCTTAATAATTGCTTATTAAACTTTTTCCTTCAGCAGGCTCTGCCTTTCTGGCGAAGTGTGAATGTGTTAAATGTATCACTTCCAATACTTAAGTTCATTTTGTTTCTTCTACTATAATTTCATATAGTGAAATGCCTCAGTCAGATTAGGACTTCCAAAGATAACAGACTGTGTACAACATGAAGCAGTAAAGCCTCACAATACTTTTGTATCTAGTGCTCTCGTTCTGCATCTCTCTGCATTTCATGATGCTGGTTTTCAAAGTAAGACGGCTGGGTTCCTGTGCTGAAAAGTGAAATCTGAAGCGCTAGTTGTGGTAAAGCCTAGTTAGGAGACTGTCGAAGAACCTACACAGGAACCACCTGTGGTATTCCCTTCCTGTTTTGGCAGATACGTAATAAAGGGAGGTAAAATTTGTCTGTTTGTGACTAATGCAGGGGTTTTTTGCCTGTCTGTAGTAAAAGGGGATTGTTCCTCCCCTTCCAGAAAGGAACAGCTGAACCCTGTGAGGAGTAGGCCTCTTCTGGTGCTGTAGAAGCAAAGGAACGGTGCCGCCTTTGTGCTCGCTAGTTAAATGTGCAATGTTTATTAATGAAAGAGAGAAAATGGTTTTACAAATACTTTGTCTTTTAGTACTTACTACGCTGTCAGTGCCTGACCCTTTTCTAGTGACCTGCCTAGGACTGGCCATAGTAAAGCGAGGGCAGTGCACCCCACAGTAGCTGTGTCCTTAATCGGGCAGAGTCATCCAGAAGAGGTGGTGGCTGACGCGCAGCTGTGGGTAACGAGTGGGCTTGGGTTTTGCCTTCGCTTAGGTACGGAGGGAGGGGGGCTGCCCTTTAGGGGGCTGGTAGTGGTGGCAGTGGGAGGCTGAGCCCGGTGGGGCAGGCGGCTGCCGGGCGGAGGGGGAGGCGTGGCGCCTTTCCCGCCTGGGCCGCGAGGTGCCGCTGGCTCACGGCTGTGCCCGAGCCCGCCAACGGGCGAGAGGGAGGAGGGAGCGGCACCGGTAGCTGCGGCTGGGCGGCTGGCCCTCCCCTCTCTCGCCACCGCCTCGTAAATGGTCCCGTTCACCTCTCTTGCGGGCATACCAGCGCCCTCGTAGGGAGAAGGCGTCATGGCCCCTCGTCCCGCTGTGGTGTGGGCAGCCTGGTCGCCCTCGGTGCCCATTGCTGCCGACACAGCAGTGCTGAAGAGGGGGGCATAGGAAGCCTGGAAAATATTTTGGGGTGAGCACAGGTAAAGTTTGTGAGGAAGGGGTGCTGGCGGCAGGAGCTTGAAGCCAGGAGGGCTGTGTTGGGTGTTGTGCGGTGTCACACGCTGGAGTGCAGCTGAGTGGGGTTAGCTGGCTGTGGGGGCACTGATGAACACGGTCACCCCGGCAGTGGGACTGGTCAGACTTTATTTTTTGAAGCTGAGGCGATGACAGTGTTTAGTGCACTGTGACCTGGGCCATAGCTTAGTCCTTCCTAGTCATGTTTGGTGTCCTTTCCGTTTAGCCCGGGGAGTACAGGGTCCAGGGAGATACGGTGCATCTCTGTGTGTGTGTTTAATCCCTTCTTGCTGAAGATTTCAAGGGATGGAGCAATAATCGTGTAGGAGTAATCCTAAAGAAACTGAAAAGAAAATCCCTACTATAAATTCTTTCAATTTGTGCTTAAAATTTGATACTTCAGGCACTAAACACCTCTACCAGCCTACAGGGTACAGTTCTCAGATGACAGGGTTTACACTGCTGCCATGCTAGTGTTGCACTGGTATCGTTACTCCTCTCTCAGATGTTGATCCGTTTGTCTTCCCGAAGCTGGTTCTGTGAACTCCTACAAGGGATCTTTCATATGCTATGAGCTTTGCTTCCTCATCAGCCCGATAATTCTGTGTCTTGTCCTTTACCAGGTAGCTAAATTTATTTTTGAAGATTTAAGTGGCATTTCATATTGGTCATCTACAGAGAGGACAAAGGACACTTTGTAGAAGAAAATCTGTAAGACAGTAAAAGAGGTATGTATATCCAAAATACCGTATTTTGGCCTTAGTAATTCTCCCTCTAAATTCAGCAAAGTAGCTTCATGGTAGATTCTTCTTTAAAAAAAAAAAAAAAAAAGCAGAGATGTGGGTAATACACAATGAAAACAAGCACTGAAGAGCACGGTCAGCCTCCAAACCAAAATTGTAGTTGTGAAAGTTTTGTCTATGGGAATCGGACTCGATCTTCTGTGTTACATGGATGGAAATAAGTCTTTGCAAGATCAGCACCTTAAGTGGGTCCTACAGGAGGTAACAGCAGAGTAGGAAAGTCAGATTTAAAAAAGGGAAAAGATGTTGCCCAGTTCCACACTTTTAACAGCTATGACAGACTTCTCGGATAAGGGAGATAATTTAAGTCTTACTTTTGATAGGCTGATTATACCTATAAAATATATAGGGGAGGATAAATTAAATGCAAGCTTTAATTTCATGGGTTAGGGAACTGGGCAGTGAAATAATTCACTGAGAAAATAAAACATTAGAGCATTCTTCAGGAATTTACTTGGGGAATGTAGTATGCTTCAGCCGTTGGAAGGAACTTTCCATTGAATTTTAAAAACCCTTGCAAGAATTGCACAGTTTGAAAAAGAGACTATTTTAATTTTGTATGGCTTTGTTAATATACACCTTTATTATTACAGTAGCATGGCCAGTTCTAATGTCATTTCTTCACGGTTTATTCCAACATTTTGATAAAGAGTGCAAAGATCCTTCTTGGAAGATGCATCATGAAATACAGAAAATGAGGGAAATTGCTCTTGTTTACCTTGACAGAAGTGGTGGCCTTCAGAAATTCGTGCACGACTGCAAAAAATACAATGGTATTACTCACTCAATAGATAGTCTGTTAAATTGGTATGTAATGTTTTATTTAAGATACTTTTTGCTTCTAGACTCAAAACAAAGTTACGCTGTTTATCGTTTCATTATTTCAATAAATCCTTCTGATATTGCTGAATTAGATGCAACTCTTGGAAACTACATTCTTCATAATCCCATACAAGCTGCACAGATTTTTCAGTCAGTAAGTATATATTTATAGACAAGAGTAGACAAAAGTACATCTTCTATATTTTAACTAGATTTTCCTTTCTAAAATGAAGTTATTTTTCAATCACAGGTATGTTTCATAGCTATTAAGACATTATCATTAATTGAACAACTGCAGACAGAGGCCCAGGTGAGTCTGCACTGTTTTCCTCCATTTAGATCTTAAATCTTTTAAGTATGGTGAAGTATTAACAAATACTATTTTTGTATTAACTTTTCAGTTTTCATTTTCCCTTTGGTTGTAGTATTAATTGTAATTAAAAATAGCTGGAAGTCTCACCCAACCATATTGCAGAATTTTGATATAACTAATATGAAACCTAATTACTCTTACACTTCATACATTTCTGAAATTTTTTTCCAATAGCTATCTATCACATTGTGTGTTTGTCCATGTAAGTAAAGCAAGTTTAAATTAAAAAAAATATTTTTATGGTATTAATGTAATTGTGTTTCTTGTTAGATTAGTATACTGCTGAAACCAACACATTTGCCACCTTTACCAAGTTATGTTCTGAGTCTTTCTGCGTTTCCCTTTAATCACACATCTCAAAGATTTTATATGTCTGAAGGAATAGCGATTGCAATGGGAATGGTAACAAAATATACACAAGGAGCAAGATTTCTTTGTACTGAGGAAACCTGTCCATTTTCTGAAGGTAGTAAGACAAAAAAAAAAAATCGGTACTATTTCAAAAGCTTTTTAATAATTTTGATAACTTACCAGAGATTAAAAACCTAGCATGAAAAAGGCATTTTCCTATGCAGTATTATTATGCAGACATTTTTGTAATGAGCACAGCATGATTTTTATTAATTGAACGCAGTGCACCTTGCCAGTGGTTGCTCAGCATTATTAAATGTTTTGGGAGCATAGCTATGCCAGCAATCCATTTTCCTAATGCTGAAGATAGTTTATATGAGAAAAGATCTGTTGCCATTATAATTTAATAAATTACCTGAAAGGGGAAAAAAAAAGCTAAACTAGTAGAACACTTTTTTTTTTATTGGAAACTGTGTATCTGTTTATATAAAAATACCACAGAACGGTATGCTTAAGTGACTGGCAAAAGCTTCTAGCATTGAACAAGTTTGCTTTAATGAGTAGCTGACTTCTGTGGAACTACTTCTTTGAGTAATATTATTGAAGTGCTTGCATCGTTGCAGGATTAGGCCTTAAGTACTTTTAAGGCTGTTTTGTTTGCTTCTTCCTGTAACAGAGACCATAAAATTGTAAAAGAGAAGCGAAATCCCAGTTAGGCGACTGCAGAATAAATCATAATGATGTCTTTATGAGGGCACGTACCACTAATAACGAATATCCATATCCCATGTCATTTCCACGCAAGGCAGAAGCGGCAGTCGCTCCCTGCGGCTCAGAAAGCCAGGCCAAGCTGTTCCGCTTGGGAACGTGCAATAGGAAATTCTGCCATCTTGTGGTCAGCCTAATAAATGATACAGATCATTTTAGTGGAAGCCTAGTATATGAACGTATGCTCAGCTGAAGAAACACGATAAATTTGGAATTTCACTGTCCAGTATTTTAAGCACTTCTATACTTAATGGGAAATTTAAAATGAAAGCCATGTCCTCATTTTAAATGTCTGGTAAATTTTTTTTTTTTCTTTTTTTTTTTTTAGGCTTTAGGTACATAAGAGTGCATCTGCCTGGAGCTACAGAATCTGCCACAGTGAGGAATGATTTTGTGTGTAGTTTGTGTTCTTCGCCACTGCAGGAAGACATGAAATTTAGAGTACTTGGTGGTAAATTCTATGTAGTTTTATTTTTAGATCTGTTACTTTCCTACTTCTGTTACACAGTAAGTAAACAAAATGGTTAAGTGGAAAAAGCCCCAAAATACACCAGCCCTTTAAAAAAAAAAGCAAAAAAAAAAAAAAAACCAACCCGTACAGTTTTCAAGAGAACTAACCTTTTCTTTGCCTTTATTTTGAAAGATAAACAAATAGTTGAAATGATTGATGCAAAAGTTCTTAATGCTTTGAAAGGATATTCCAATGATAAATCACATTTTAGGATTCAGACATTTACAGTTTTCTTGAGAGGTAAGCTGAATTTTGGAGTTTTGTCAAAAATGTTTTAGAATTGAACTGTAATAATCCCTTGCAATTTCCTTATAGGTCCATTTCTCTGGATAAAACAGTGAAAGTCATAATTTATATTGCAGGTCTTTAATAAAATTGGGGGAAATAATACGAAAAACTAGCTAGGTGACTAACAGTATACGCAGGTGACTGCACATGGCAAAACTGTTGTGTTCACTTTTATACCTTCGTTTAAATAAAATCCCCTGGCCAGCTCTGCAGTAGCGCATACTAACTGTAGCTTGTTTTTTCCTCCTTTCTACTTCCTTTGGTCATACTGTTTTGTACTAACTTCATGCATTTTTAACATCCTTCCTCAATCTAGCTGTTTTCCGCATTCCATCAGGATTTTTGGTTTCTACTACATCTACCTTCCACTGCAAACAGTAAATGATTTCTAATGTGAATATCCAACTAAAATCACAACTCACCAACATACTTACATTAATTCTCTTAAAAAAAAAAAAAACCTGCCGTTCCAAAATTCTATGGAATTATATGGTTAATTTCTTGAAAACTAAATAGCTCCAAGATGATGAGAAACACTTAAAAACTGACAATATGCATGTATTGTTATAAAACAGAATCTATGGATGAGATACTGCGAGTTATGCATGCATTCAATTTCCACTAGCTTCAGTGATCAATGAGGTTAGACAGGGTCTCGCAGCTGAGATTCATATTTGGTTGCACCTAACTCTCATTTCCAAAAAATAAATATGGGTTTGTGGTTTTTTTTTTTTTAAATGCACAGAAATACAAAGGTTCCCAAAGCTATTTGTGTGTCTTTTTGAAATCTGTTTAGCTTGGATCTCCTTTTTATTGTGGTTTTTTTCACTGACATTTTATAGGACAAAAACTGATAATGGTGTCACCACAAGTTTCAGAGTAGGAACACATACTTGCAAACAACCATCCGTTTTTCTGTTCAGTGCAGAACTAAATGTATCACCCATTTTCTTTATCAGGAATCTACTTTTCCTCACCCAGTGTGCCTTCCTTACCTTTTGCATTCAACTGTTGTTTTCTGCAATTAAATCATAAAATCAAACCGTTCAGAATGTGTAGAGAAGTTTTCTGACCATGTCTTTAGAACTGTTTTTATGCCCTAACACATCTGCAGGTAGTTCTCCCCCCTACCCCCTTTTTTTTTTTTCTTAATTTCTAGATGAACTGGCCAATAAAATGAAAATAGGAAACCACTACAAGATTATAGGAATTCCAGCTTGTGTACAAAATGGCTTACAAGCTACAGCATGTATAGAAGTCAATAGTGTACAGCTCTGTAAACCAAATGGTAAGAAAGTCCCATTAAAAATTGACTAAAAATGTTGGAAAACCTTCTAGAACAAAATCTTGAGAATTGGTACAGTTTTCTATCATCTAGAGGTCCGGATTATGAAACCACTCTGGGACTTTCCTCTTACAGTCTGGAATGTACGCTTACTGTTACTTGAGAATATCTTTTGCCCAGTTTCCATGCATTGGGAAATGACGTAATTATTTTAGTGCGGTTCTTCAACTTCCTCTTTCCAACTTCTCCTATCCATTGGAAGGTACTTTGAAATCATACATTAAATGAACCCGGTATTTCAGTTTGTTACTCTTTCTTATTCCGTCAGCTTTAGCAGATCATGTCTGCTACCTTTTTAGTAGTAAAATTAATCGTGTCAGATGTTTACATTCTGAATTTGTGCTCAATACATAATGTCCTGGTTTCGGCTAGGATAGAATGAATTTTCTTCCTGGTAGCTGGTACAGTGCTGTGTTTTGGATTTAGGATGAGAACAATGTTGATAACACACTGATGTTTTAGTTGTTGCTAAGCTGTGCTTACACTAGTCAAGGACTTTTCAGCTTCCCGTGCTCTAC